TAACCTAGGGCAAAAGTAATGGCTTGGCTTCCAGGGCAAAGGTGATGTGCTCTGTGCCTGCTAGATAGTCTCCAGGCTCTTATCGGGAGGTGATACCACTATGGCTACATGTGCAGGGTGGGTCTGCAGCCTTTGACCCTCTCACTCAAAGCCTCCTACCCTGGGACCTGGCCATCTGCCCTCACCCTTCCCCGGTCCAATCTGCCCAGGAGGAGCCACCACTCACCTCACCTCTAGAGCACACCCTGCTAGATTCCTTTCTTACCTGCTAATGACCAGCTCTTGGTGGGCACCATGACTCCTAGGCAGGGAGACTGGTGGAGTATTTTGGTGGATCCTGTTTCAACATTCTTTCTGCTTGGATTTATGCTCAGTGTTATTGAGGAGCCATAAAAGGGCACAGAGTTGGGGTCCACCTCATTTTCACCAATTCAGACCTGCTGGCTCCTCCAAAGAGACATCCAGGTAGCAAGACCTTACATGCTGTGCCCAGGACTCTGCCTAAGAATAAATATGTGTACCCAGTCTCACAGCAGGGCCATTGCAGCAGGTTTTGTTCTGTGTTGTAACAAACATCAGACATCACTCTCTGGTGGCCACAGTGAATTAAATGGACAGAGATCTCATCAGGAAAGGTATCTGTGAGTGGCACATTCCAGGAAGAGAAGTGTACCTTTGGACTTGGAAAGATGTTGCTAAACTGTCCTGTCTGTGAGGGCCCGCTACCCTGTCTTTAGCTGCTCCATATGTCACCACACTTGCTGATACATGTCGACTTGATGGGGGATGGGAGTATTAGCTCTCGAGAACGTTTTGGGATGTTTAACTTTTTCTTTCGCAGTCTGGCCCAGAGGAAGAACCTGTGAGAGCAGGAAGAAGGTGTCATCTGGTAGAGATGACAGGTGCAGCGGAGCATGCATGGACACCTCCCTGCATGCCTGCGACCTCCCTGCACATGAAGCACAGAGAGGATCAGGGATGACTGAATGGTGCACAACACTGAATGGGCCTCTTGTCAGGTAGAGAGAAGAGCTAAGGAACACCACATGCCCATCATCCATTTTCCACAATAGTGGACATTGGTCATCCTAGTTTTATCTGGACCATTCGGTGATAATCAATGGCTTTCTCTCCAACAGACCTCAGCCAGAGGCAGGAAGAGCGTGTGACTTGGTCACAACTACATCTCTTTCTCTCAGCTCTCCTCATCATATCTTTCTTTGTATGAATGTGTAGATAAATGCCTTCTTTATATCATGCCACCTCAAGCAAGAGATCTTTGAGGATGGGAGATTTTTAATTGTTTCCTACAATCATTTCAGTACTATACAGGACGTGGCAGAGTTAGTTTGGAGGAAACTGTCCCCTATAAGCACATGAGCACTTTTATTGGAAGATCCAGCCTGAATGTGGTGTGGTACCCTAAAATTCTGTTGGGTAAACCACGGTCAAGACCAGTGATTGCAGTGGTGTTATGGGAGGAGAGTATAACAGGGAGGACAGGTCTGCAGCAAAGGTTTGCAGATCAGGGTCCCTGACAAGGCTGAGTTGACGGTGGCAAGGAGGTGGCAATAACCACAGTGTATGAGGCAGCTACCGGGAAATTCCAACCCTGATGTGCATCTCTCTGCCCACAGCCCAGGACTCTGCCAGCCCCGTCCGGACCACAAACACAGGGCAGGTGCGGGGCAGCTTCGTCCATGTGGAGGGCACCGATGCGAGGGTCCACACCTTCCTGGGAATACCCTTCGCCAAGCCACCTCTAGGACCTTTGCGGTTTGCACCCCCTGAAGCCCCTGAGCCCTGGAGCGGTGTGAGGGATGCAACCTCCCACCCTGCTATGTAAGCTCTCTGGGGAACTGGGAAAATTCAGGCCCTTGGGAGGGAATGTATGCCCTAATCCGAGGGCAGGCTGCAGTGGTTTTGCCACATCAATCCTACAGACAGTTTTCCTCTGCACTGGGGGGAGGAGATTCCCATTATGACCATGCTAGGCTCCAGAGGGTATCGGAACTATGTTAGTCTCAGCTCAGGGCTTGGGAAGCTAAAGGAATTAGCTCTAATGTCTGAAGAGAGGGGCAGAGACACATTTCTTTCTAGATTTGAGGTATGCTAATAGTCTACGACTTTGAGGAGGTCTCTGGAAGAGATTCAGGTTCATCTCTGAATCTTGTAAGAACCTCTGACCTAGTGACAGATACAACTGATCTCTCAGGAGTGCTAACCCTTTGGAGACTCTACCCTCTATCATCACTGTGCCAACTGACATGGTGAGGTGAGGTGTCACAGTCTGGTTTTGACCAAAAGAGGCCTTGGAATAACTGTCTGTCATTGTCACCAGGTGTCTGCAAGGTGATCAGTTAAATAGTTCAGAGGGTCTGAAGCTCTTTAATATGACCATGACTTCTATCCCCATATCCATGTCTGAAGACTGCTTGTACCTCAACATCTACACACCTGCCCATGTCCATGAGGGATCTAACCTGCCTGTGAGTGTCAAACTGTGGTCCGCTTGAGTATGGAGGACATTCCTTCTCCAAGATTAGAAGGTGGCTAAAGATGTCGCTTAGTGATACACATTTGCCTATCATGCACAAACTTCTACATTCAAACACAAAGACCACAAAATCAAAAAAACTGCAGGACAATAAGAGTGGACATGGTTAGCCTGGTTCTGCTGCAGGGTAGACCCTGTTGTGAAGCCTTCTGCTGTGGAAACCAAGAAGGGCTTCTCAGCCAGGTTGGGTAACTGACCCCTAGCATTAAGTCACAGAGCCCTAACTGGTACCAGAGATCACAGGTCTCGGTGCCCACGAGTTCTACTTTGAAATGACCCAAGAGCCTAGCTGCAATTTATCGGTTGGACTAATGAAATAACATTTTTATTAGTATTTAGGCTGGACAGTATCAGAAAACTCCCCTTTTCTCCATTTCCAAGGAGTCTGAGAATATTAGATCCAGGTTTGGATTCATGTGGTTGACTCAAAGTAAGAAAGTCCTGGTCTACCTGATTGAACTTGGGTCTGTGACCCATCCCTCACATATGCAGTCTTTCTGGAGTCCTCTGTGGTAGTTGCCTAGAGCCTAAGCTATGGATAGTGTATGAGGAAGCCAGGTAGTGTTTTGGCTGGGCAGAAGTCACACGGCATCTGTCTGTACTTCCCCAGGTGATGGTATGGATCCATGGTGGTGCACTGGTTCTAGGCATGGCTTCCATGTATGATGGATCCATTCTGGCATCTTCTGAGAACGTGGTGGTGGTCACTATCCAGTACCGCCTAGGTGTCCTGGGCTTCTTCAGGTGAGCCTGGGTCTGTACTGGGAAATAAGGCTGAGCAGAGCCAGAACA